CTGGCAAGCAGCTTTGGACAGTTTGCGAAAACAATATTGTTTTTGGTGAAGCATTCCTTTGCAGCAGAGGGGGAGGATACAAGGAGGACAGGGCGAGAACCAAATCGGAGGAACAGACGCAGACCATGTTGGTTGGAGATGTTGGCCAAGGTCCGGTGGAGGGGTTTCTTGAAGAGATGTAAATGGCTTATTATGGGAAGGGAGAGGGAAGGGCTTGGTTGGGGTTTTTTGTATCTTTTCAGCAACTGCCTGCTGCGAAAATATAAGAAGAAGGATAGGAGGAAATAGTATGGGGTCTCCATGGATTGATGCCAATATTGAATGAAAACAGACGCTCTCCAGCAATCATCCTCATCATAACATTGAGTGTCAGCTCAAAAAAGGCAGATTTCATATCCACCATATAGAATTCACCATCTTGGGTTTGGGAGCCTTTATAAAGCCGGCTCAGGAGGGACCGGACCTCATGGATGCGTATGGTGATAGACATTTGAATTCGATAAGTTGACAAGATTTCAAGTGAAGCTATACGTCTCGAGTTGCGCCAGTGTTGCCATAGGAGGCCCATGTAAGGCTGGTGTAGTTGTAACCAAGGTATTGGCTGGCAAGCAGCTTTGGACAGTTTGCGAAAACAATATTGTTTTTGGTGAAGCATTCCTTTGCAGCAGAGGGGGAGGATACAAGGAGGACAGGGCGAGAACCAAATCGGAGGAACAGAAGCAGGCCATGTTGGTTGGAGATGTTGGCCAAGGTCCGGTGGAGGGGTTTCTTGAAGAGATGTAAATGGCTTATTATAGGAGGAAATAGTATGGGGTCTCCATGGATTGATGCCAATATTGAATGAAAACAGACACTCCTCTGTACAAGAGCATAATGAAAAAGTTAGGGATCATGAAAAAAATTTCATGAAAATAATTTTAAAAGTTTTGTGATCTTTAGATTACCTTGATTAGTGTGTAGTGCTTTATTTTAAGTGTAATCCAAATGTCACAAATTTTTCATGATTATTTTCATGAAAGGTTTTTCATGACACCTACCATTGTTGAATGAAAAAATGCCAAAAAACCAAAGTCACTTTCAAAGCGAGTTTTTTTGCACAAGATTTGGCTTTTCCAAATTTGCCACATCCGCAAAGGCACTTATAATCACTAGATGCATTTGAAAAATAGATCTAATGGTTAAAAAATGATATGAGATTTAGGCCATGTTTAATTTTCTCAAAAGAGTTTATCAAATTTGAAAATTTTTTGGTTGAATGTTTTGAAAATAATTTTAGAATTTGGGATGATTTAATTTTTTTTATTTATTTCATAATTGAATAAATTGATGTGAGAGAAAAAGTTATTGATTGATGTGTAGGATATGAGAGACATAGAGAGAGAGAGGGAGAGAGAGAGAGGTGATTGATTGATGTGTAGTTGAGAGAAAAATGATTTTAGATTTTTTTTCAAAAATTTTCAGCCAAACAAATTTTTGAATTTTTTTGTGAAAAATTATCTCCCAAGAGACAAACCAAACAAAGCCTTAGTTTTGTAACATGGGAATTATTAGAGTGGTATAGCTAAAATGATCTTTCTTTCTTCTTTTTTTTCGCACTGTAGTAACTCAAAAAATAGCTTTGATAAAACTATTTTGACTTGAGAAAAGTTAGGAATTTCGAAAAAAATTTCATGAAAATAATCATGAAAGAGTTATGATTCTTGGATTATCTTGATTAGTGTGTGGTGCTTTATTGTAAGTGTAATCCAAGGATCACAAAACTTTCATGAGTATTTTCATGAAAGATTTTTCATAATACCTAGCATTGCTATTTTGACTTTCACCCATGGACTTACTCTAATGAGGGCCGGCCTTGGGCGAAGGCCAGTGAGGCCTGAACCTAGGACCCCCAAATTTTGAAAATCCTTCTTGCCATTAAGGGGTTGTTTGGGATGACCTAAATAAGTACACTTTTACCTTTTTACGAAAAGATGTGTAGCAAAGTAGAGAGGTGATGTGATGGAAAAAAAGATAAAAAGATAGATTATTTGAGATATGCCAAACTTGGCCTAAGTTTTAAAAAAGGCCCAATTATTGTTAGAGGCCATCCAAAACAAAAAGGCCCACTAAAAAAAGGGCCAAACACAATCATGTTATATGCCAACATTAAAAACAAATAAAAAAAAGTAAAGCCCAATTGAAAAAAAAAAAACTATTTTCAAATCAAATAAGTGATAACCTACTTCACTTTTTTCTTTCTTATTATAATATTTTTTTTACCACTCTCAAAGGCCAACTGAAAAAAAAGGCACAAACACAAACATGTTATAGGCCCAATGCATGGATTGCTTATAGAATTTTATTGACCATACCAGTTACTATTGCCTTGGGAGAAAGAAGCTTTTCAAAGTTGAAGTTAATCAAATCTTACTTTCGGTCAACCATGTGTCAAGAAAGATTGAATGGATTAGCTCTGTTATCCATTGAAAAGGATATAGTGGATAAATTAGATTATACAAGCTTAATTAGTAATTTTGCAACTAAAAATGCAAAAGAGTAATGTTTAAGTGATATTTTATCGTAGCTGGTTTAATTTTTATTTGGTACTGTCTTTTTTTTCCTTATTGTAAACTCGATTTTGCCATTCTGAATTCTTGTAATAAATTCTTCCTATCTTAATCCATATAAGTAAATTTTTTTATTGATACTCGCAAATAATAACTTGTGCATTTTTGCTATTTATTATATTACTCAAAATTTTTGTTTGATAAATATGTATAAGGGTCCCTCTTGAAATTTCGCCTAGGCCCTATAGAATTCAAGGCCAGCCCTGAATGTGCTTGGATCGAATTATTTATATTTTGATGTAGTAACGTGTTAGTCCTCATATGGGAAGCCTTTAGGTAAACTCTTCAAAAGATATACTTTCAGTCTAACCGAGCCCAAGTTGTGCAGAAACTGATAAATAATTATCAGCAGATGGGACAAGCTAGCCTGATTAAATAATTTTATCAACAGAATGAATGTGTGTGTATATATATGAACATAGCTTTCAGGATTAGATAGATTGGGTAGATTGTTATGTTTGTTTGTACTAATCGAATTATTGAAACCGTGTTAGCTTTAGTTAATTAATGCACGAAGTTGATTGCCACCCTTGTCATTTTGCATGAATTCTGTGTCAGTTTATGTCACAAGGACACTATTCTTTGAGTTGCTTTCCGTTTAAAGAAACATTCATTGTTTGTCATGAAGGAAGATCAAGACTAGAGAGGGACTATGAGAATGCTAGCACTTCGATAGAGATTGCTGTATTTTAAGCAAAGATACTTGAGCAGATGTTCATTGTTATGTTGAGTAGTAGTAATACAACCAAGCAAAAAACTTTTATTTATGCAATCACTTGCACACAATAATGATGTACACAATCACATGCTAACACACTTCACTTATTCACTCACACCCAAACTTTATAATATATTGTCCAATTTTGGACATAACGTATAGTACTTAGCTAATTCCAATTACTGCACGCATTCTGATGGGGATGACATCGAACTGGCTTGGGTTGCTGTACTGTGCCTTTGAATAGGAAAATCTATTAATTGAGAACATTAAAAGCTTAAACACGCCATCAAAAGCCCTTCTGTAGATGAAGCAATTTCATGGCAGAGGATTTTGCCTTAATATAAGCTTGGCTTAAAACATAGCAATCCCTCTCGGATTGCTGGAATGTGCTAGTCAAATATCATGTAATGCATATTTCATTTGCACAATGCTTGAATTATCCTTTTTTTTTTTTTTCGCATTGATTATTCATTGTTGTGATCAAATGATTAACAATCCCCCTCAAATGGAGATATAAACATCCAATAACCTACAACTACTATCTCTCAATGGAATGTAAATGCTAATCAAACTAAAAATTCAGAGAGCCATAAACCATATATTAGGTGATTAAGGTTATGCAGAAATGGTATCCGCTTTAGTCACTGCAAAAAATGGATAAGTATTACTTGCCCATAATACAAATGATTAACAATCCCTCTCGAATCCTTCTCAAGTGTCAAGTTACTAACAAAATATTTTTCTTTTCTCGATGTGAGCTGCCAATAAAAAATCCAATCCCATTTTGAACTCATATTTCAATGTAGGTGTATTGGACAATAAGCAATGGTCCTCACTCCTCAGGCAAAAGAAAGAAATCCATACTCTCCCACAGAGAACTAATTTGCTCATCAAGCAAACCACACAAAACCAAAAGGTCAAAGGACAAGTAGTTCTAAGGAATCAACAATTTTCTTACTTTGTGAATGAGCCTCCGACATATTGGACACACCTTGGAATCGCCATCCATGATCCTGCACAAAAATATCCTCATGAAATCTCTATATAATTATTTACATACAGAGGATATGTATAAAACTCTTTTCAATATTATATGCTTTTTGGCTTTTTTGAGTTTTTTTGTGAGAGAAGAATGTAATGATTATGGGTTGGATGTGATGTTTTGTTTGTTATGGCTAAAATAGCCTATTTTGTTTTTTGTGGCTAAAATAGCCAAAAAAGCCTGCAAACCCACTTGCCAAACCCAGGCTTAGCTAATTCCAATTACTGCACGCATTCTGATGGGGATGACATCAAACTAGCTTGGGTTGCTGTACTGTGCTTTTGAATAGGAAAATCTATTAATTGAGAACATTAAAAGCTTAAACACGCCATCAAAAGCCCTTCTGTAGATGAAGCAATTTCAAGGCAGAGGATTTTGCCTTAAAATAAGCTTGGCTTAAAACATAGCAATCCCTCTCAGATTGCTGGAATGTGCTAGTCAAATATCATGTAATGCATATTTCATTTGCACAATGCTTGAATTATCCTATTTTTTTTTTTTTTCGCATTGATTATTCATTGTTGTGATCAAATGATTAACAATCCCCCTCAAATGGAGATATAAACATCCAATAACGTACAACTACTATCTCTCAATGGAATGTAAATGCTAATCAAACTAAAAATTCAGAGAGCCATAAACCATATGATAGGTGATTAAGGTTATGCAGAAATGGTAGCAGCTTTAGTCACTGCAAAAAATGGATAAGTATTACTTGCCCATAATACAAATGATTAACAATCCCTCTCGAATCCTTCTCAAGTGTCAAGTTACTAACAAACTATTTTTCTTTTCTCGATGTGAGCTGCCAATAAAAAATCCAATCCCATTTTGAACTCATATTTCAATGTAGGTGTATTGGACAATAAGCAATGGTCCTCACTCCTCAGGCAAAAGAAAGAAATCCATACTCTCCCACAGAGAACTAATTTGCTCATCAAGCAAACCACACAAAACCAAAAGGTCAAAGGACAAGTAGTTCTAAGGAATCAACAATTTTCTTACTTTGTGAATGAGCCTCCGACATATTGGACACACCTTGGAATCGCCATCCATGATCCTGCACAAAAATATCCTCATGAAATCTCTATATAATTATTTACATACAGAGGATATGTATAAAACTCTTTTCAATATTATATTCATATATATATATACCTCTGAGCACAATTATAGCAGGTGGCACAGTGGCCACAAGGAACAAAGAAGCAGTTGCGCGGCTCTTCATAACAAATAACACAAATCTTCCCATCATATAAATCTTGGAAGAGCTAGATGATCCAGAGTTCCTCATCACCTGTTCCATATGGCAATCGAAATGGCTTCTCTGGCATCAAAGGAACGGCCTCAGTTACTTCTCGTACTCCTGCTACTTCATGAGTCTCACCATCACACACTCCAAGGTATTTCAGTATCAGAAAAATAACGGTCACAACAAATCCTGAAAGCCATGAATGGGTTAGCCCAAAATTGTGATGACATAGAAGGTAGATCAAGTTTTTAAAAAGTACCTAAAATTGCTATATAAGTTACTACACGAGCCACAAATGATAGCTCCACGTGCCATTCTCCAAGATCCCCCTGCAGTGAACGAATTTACAGGTTTATTTTCTCAGGAGGGCATTACATATACACTTTGGCTATCGAGGGAAAGGACAAAGGACTTACGTTATTAGGTGTAGTTACTGTGACAAATTGGGTGTTGGGGAAAACAAGATTGAGCTGGCATGATCCATTTATTGTTGAACACATGCTTTCTGATTTAGTTGTATCATACATCTTTGATGAAACGTTTAGATTCATTTTCATTATGACGCTCCTAGGGTTCGTGTTTACGATGCCAATGTAGTACTTGTCATCCTCCTCAATGAAATATTTAACTTCTCTGCCTGAAAATATGTTGATTAGTCAAGTAGACCAAGTTCAGACAAACGCAGGGCAATTAATTGATTAGGCCATGCAAAGAAGAAGAAAAATTAACAAGAGGCATGATCAATTTGAATTGTAAAAATGTTTATGCATCCCAAGACCAGTATAGGCATATGAAAGTAATTGAAACCAAGATATCAGATTAACTCTCTAGACAATGTTGAGTTTAATATAGTCCTCTAAGAGTCAGGGCTGGTCCTGAGTTTTGTTGAGCCCTACGTGAGCTCTAGAAACGCCTTTATAAAATAAATTGTTAGTATAATGGTATGTATACATAGTTTTTTTATTTGTTAATATTCTCACAAAGTTTGTCTGCATATATATTTTATTAAAATTATGTATTAAAACACATCGTGCCTGTTTGGTGCAGCTTAAAAACTACTTATTTCAACTTTCAGCTTACTTTAAGTTATTTTGATGTGTTTGGTTTAGCTTATAGTTTATAGCTTATAGCTTTTTGGAAGTCAGAAATCAGCTTATTCTTTGAGTGGGGCAGGAGACACTTAATTTATAAGTCAGAAATCAACTTATGTCCATAGTTATAAGCTATAAGCTGTTTAGACATAAACTATAAGCACTTTCCCACAGCTTTACCAAACAGGGCCATCATTACAAGTCAAAAAGATTGTAAAAAATAAAAACTGATTTTGTTGCCTTAGAACTTAAAAAGATAAAAACAAATACTGTCATGTTTTCAATTTTTCAAGAAAAGAAAACCTCAAGAAGAATTTAAAACTATAACACGAAATAAAAATTAAATCAAAATATCACTTAAACATTATTGTTCTCACATTTTTAAATGTAAAATAACTAATTAAATTTGCATAATCTAATGACTTACGTACAACATGTTTTTCAATAGATGACGTAATTAATTTATTCAGTTTTTATTGTGATAACTAATTTGTTCAATGTTTCTTATGATATGGTTGAGTGAATATAAGATTTAATTAACTTCAACTTTAAAAATTTTATTCTTCCGTAGCCAATTGTAGTTGACAAAGTCAACAATATTTATATAAACAATCAATGCATTTGACAAACAATCACTCATTACTTTTAAATTATTCAGTTAACAATTAATTGTTCTGACATTTTAGTTGAATTGAGTAGATATCTTACCGTGGGTTGGCTCAAGCAGGGCATGGGCATCAGAGGAACTTGAAGAAGTTGGGATCAATGTTTCGTGTTTACGGTCCCCTATTGAAGAATTTACTGCATTTGTAAGGTCCAAACTGAAAATTTATAGATATAACGTTATCAAGAAAGATCTATAATCAAAAGTTTGAGTGTACCTTTAATAAGAGACACTTCAAGTTGACCCAAACTACTAGCCTGAGCTTCCCATCTCATTTGGATTGTGGAACCCTTGTTCAACCACAATGAGTATCCCTGAAAATTAAATTGCAACCTATCCAGAAAATCCATTTGGAAGCAGTAAAAAGACATACAAATTAACAAAACATTGAAATAAAAAATCGTATCATTTACCTTCCGACTGTATGATGCAACAATCACATAGTTCGACGCACTCCAGTTTTTTTCCAAGCTTAATTCTGGTTTCTCCGAATACCCATAAAGAAAAACCCCTTTCTTATCGTCATCTCTCACCTCCACTTGCTTTACAAAGACTGAGCTTGCCTCAAACAACCGAGAAGAGCTCGGTCCAAGCACCATTTGACAATTCCCATAATACCCATATCTTAGAGTCACTGATACTGCAAAATACACAGGAAAATATATATATATTTGTTTCAGAACAGAGGATTGTCAAAAAAGAAACTTATAGAAGGTGAAAAATTACATGCCGCATATCCAGAGGGTCAGAGGAGTAAGCAAGCGAGCCCAGGCCTCTTGGCAGCGCTGAGGGTGAAGGTGATGATGATGATGCCTGAGAGGAGCCAACCCCGCAGATCTGTACATGGCCAAACTGGGAATTGAAGAAGACTTCTGAGAGAGAGAGAGAGAGAGAGAACTAATGGTCTAGTTGAAAGATGGGAAGCATGGAGCGAGTAAGACTGGTAGATTTTGAATGCCCCTCATGACAACTAACGGTTTTTTTTATTGAGATTGGCGGGTAATTGAATGGCAAGTGTTTTTGAATGTTAGGTGTTTGTTTCTGCCTGGCTTCGTGGCCAACCAGGTAAGACAAGCATTCTGAATTACACGTTGGCTCCTAATTATATTGTTGTGAGGGTCCGTACTATTTTATAATTTGGACACAAGAAGAGGCAAAAACGTATTTTAATACATTGAAAGAGATATCTTTGACGTACTATTTTATAATTTGGACACAAGAAGAGGCAAAAACGTATTTTAATACATTGAAAGAGATATCTTTGACATTTTTAGTTATTTATTTATTAAAATCTTTGACTTTGAAAGTTGTAAGTTTCTCTTCGGTTTGGACAACAACATAAATTAGATTTTAAAATAAAGCTTTATTTATTTATTTATTTTTGGAGTAGGTTTTCCTCCCACCTAGTAGGTAGGAGTTGTGAGGTCCCAAAAATTGAGAACATTAGAGAATATTACAAATAAATACAGGATTTATTTAAGATTATAAGAGTAGGCAATGTTACTAATGAGTCGTTTGGTTAATAGTCAAGCAAAATCTTATAAAGGTCGGATGAGTCAATATAGTCTCTCTTCTAAATCCAATCACCTTAGATAACAAAGTTACTTTTTTGATAGATCTTAACAAAGTATTAACACAAGGCCTACATGAGTTGACAGAGTAAATAAGGAATAAGTAATATAAAAGATACGTATAGATATATAATAATTATAAAATCATGTCTTAAATACAAGGGTAAATTACAAATACACCCCATGAGATTTACTTAAAATACGAATTGTCCCATGTGGTTTGAAAAATTACAAATATCTCCGTGTCAGATTTTTTTTATTTAATAGAATTAATAGAAAAGGTGAAATTTCTAACTGTTTACCTATATAATAATAAAATTATTTGAATTATTAATTGAAATAAAATTTTAACATTATTAAAAACTGTTAATTAACTTGATGTTTTATTAACAAAAAGACATATTTGTTATGAAATTAGAAACCTTAGAGGGGATAATGTAATTTTTAGAATCACATGGGGTAATTTGTAATTTAAGTAAACCCTAGGGGAGGTGTTTGTAATTTATCCTAAATACATTATGAGATCTATCACTTACAATCGCAAAACCCATTTACAAACTAGTTTCTAATCTTTCTAGGATAGTCGTAAGTCCTCAAATGCTTCAGCTTTGTCTTTGACTAGTTTAATAGTCTTCAATACTTGGCATAAAACACCATAAGCTTTGAATGTCCAGTAAATACACATACACCCCGTCCTTTTTTCTTAATCAAATACGCTATCACAATTATAACAAGTAACGAAGCATGATAATTATTCAATAATACAGGATTACAAGGTTAGATGTTAGTAATCTAGAAATCCCTCAAAGAGACTTCGTCCTCCTAACCACAAGAATCAGACAGAGATTATTCGGTATGCCCATCTTTTACTGCTTTGTTGCAGAGCTTACTTTGGATGCCTACCAACGGTTATCTACCACGTAGCACTAACCATGGGGCCTCAAAAGCGACAGTAATAGTGGGCCTCATAGTTAAACTGTCACACCCCAAACCTGGGTATGACCGGCCGTGGCTCACAGGGCCTTAGCCCAAGGCACACGTAAGCCTAAACACGCATTCAATATCACCTTGAACAATTAAACCATAGTCCAATAATAAATAACCAAAACTCAAACCAGTGACATGCCACAAGTGAAAAAAAAAAAAGTCATAACCAACTTCCTAAAAATATATATATAGTAAATGGGACACAAACTGCCCACAAAATAAAATAATTCTAAATAAAACCCAATCACAATGTATGCACAAAACTCGACAAAGCAACCTAAAATAAAATTAAATAAATGCCAATTTGTAATTTAAGTAAACCCTAGGGGAGGTGTTTGTAATTTATCCTAAATACATTATGAGATCTATCACTTACAATCGCAAAACCCATTTACAAACTAGTTTCTAATCTTTCTAGGATAGTCGTAAGTCCTCAAATGCTTCAGCTTTGTCTTTGACTAGTTTAATAGTCTTCAATACTTGGCATAAAACACCATAAGCTTTGAATGTCCAGTAAATACACATACACCCCGTCCTTTTTTCTTAATCAAATACGCTATCACAATTATAACAAGTAACGAAGCATGATAATTATTCAATAATACAGGATTACAAGGTTAGATGTTAGTAATCTAGAAATCCCTCAAAGAGACTTCGTCCTCCTAACCACAAGAATCAGACAGAGATTATTCGGTATGCCCATCTTTTACTGCTTTGTTGCAGAGCTTACTTTGGATGCCTACCAACGGTTATCTACCACGTAGCGCTAACCGTGGGGCCTCAAAAGCGACGGTAATAGTTGGCCTCATAGTTAAACAATTAATATTAGCGTGTAAGAACGATTACTAAGCTATCATGGTCGATTTGGTTTTGTACAGGTTTATTCGCAATGCTTCTTCGATTTTAGGGTTAAATATGTGAATAAACGAAGAACTAAGGGCTTTATTATAATAACTCAAAATTTAGGGACTTAATAGGGTTTTACAAAAGTTAGAGGTCTCACAAGAGTTTCTATAATTCAAGTAAAGATAGCATTACATATGGTTATACCGTAAAACACTAGTTTTATAGATAACCAACCCAGAGATGGAGCCACCCTATGGCCAAAGGTGGCCATGCCCCCCTTGTGTTTGCCATAACTTATGCATATATAGTATATATGTTTAATAAAATATTATTTACTTTGACCAAATAAATATAAAATAAGTGATAAGATTAGAAGGCAATAGCTAATTCCGCAAATTGAAAAAGAAATTGCTAAAAAAATTAGTACAAATTCAAATTATAGATGAATTTCGTGATAAAAAAGAATGCTAAGTTTGATTTTGATAGAAGTGATTGAGGGAAAAAGAAATATTTATTTAATTTTGATTTGTTGATTTTTGCCTTTTGTTATTTCTAAGTATCTTTGTTCATATTGACTATTTGAAATATTTTGATACATTTTAATTTTCAAATTAGAATCTATAAAAACGTAAATGTAATTGGAGTTGGATATATATAATATTTGGCCCCACTATCTTTAAATCTTGACTCCGTCATTGAACCAACCAGAAATCACCACGTAAGCAAATGATTGGCCCCACAGTAAAGTGTTGGAAAATAATAGTTTTTTGGCAATTTTAATTCAAAATTAAAATAGCACCCAACCGCCTATTGATATGGGTCCGAGTAGGGTTGTATTCTCTTAAGTGAGAAGATTACAATATACAAATTATGAGTCGAAACTATTGAATCGTGAATGAGAATTGTCTCATAATTAAAGTGGGCATCAATAAAAGTTGGGCATAGATTTAGACTTAGTCTTAGTTTGGACTAGGCTTGTACTCGTGCATGTGCTAGCAGGTTATTTTAGTAACTTTTTGGCTTTTTAGATAAAATATGAGGTAAAAAAAACTAGTATGATTGGAATGACTTTTTGATTTTTTACGAAAAGATGTGCAAAAAGTAGAGAGAAAAGAGAATCTTTGACTTTTTTGTATAGGCTATAGACTTTTTGATTTTTTTAGTAACTCTTTGGCTTTTAGGCCAAAACAAACACTTGCCAAACGAGGCCTTAATCTTGAGCTTGGGCTGTGTTGTGTTGTGTTAAGCTCAGCTTATGCATGTGTTTGAGATTGTGCATGGATTGGGTTCTGGTCCACACCTATATCCATTTTGCGACCCATCTAGTTTAATTCTCAAACTTATACATTATATACACTTTATGATTTATATAATGCTTTTGGAGTTTTGAACCTTTGTAACTCTAACCCTAATGGCTACAGTTGATGACATTTGATGGCCTTAGTTAATGGCAATTGATAACATAACCTTCATGGCTAGGGACTCTCCTACTTGCATAAATAGAGATCTTTTCCCTCCAATTTGGTAGGATGATTTTGGAGAGATTTTTTAGATGAAAAATGAGATAGTGTTTTAAGATAATAAAGTTGGAGATGGTTTTTATACCAAAGAAAATTTTCGCTATCTTCTTTGCTAACCTCTTCTTTAGTTCTTGTTAGAGAGGCAGTGCTACCATTATTAAGTTCGCCGAAACTATTTCGAATGTGCTTCTGCTCTTGTTGGTTTTGACCGTCGTATCCTGGGAGACAAACGTCGGCGTACCTCCAGCACCGTGAGGCGGCAAATCTGTTTTAAGGAAACTGCGTATACCATAAGTTTCGATTTGCATCCCTAGCTTTTGTTCTTCAAAGTTTTAAATTTAAACTATTTCTTGTATATTATTTTGTATGTCCATGTGAATCCATCATGTAATATGTTCCATGATGTAATCAATTTCATTCCTATATTTTTAGTTATGTTGTTTATTATGTATTTCATTCTTTAATAATAATGAAAAAAAATTATATTGTCATTTATATTTAATTTTGGCAAGGCAATACAGTCAGTAAGAGATAGGTCAGACTGATCCACGTGCCCCACGAGTCTACTGGCCTTCATCTTCTTGGGGCATGCCTACAAAAGTTCAAGTGGAAAGGTACCAAAACTAGAGTGGTTCCTCCCATGGACTCTCCGATGGTTAAGTTAGACAGGAAGTGGTTGAAAGAAGAGAGAGTAAAGAAAGTTGAGGATTGAGAGAGATGAGAAAGAGAGAGAATATTATTTGTTTTTAAAACATTCTTCACAAGCTTCCTTATATGTTTTACCAATCATTTCCTTGTCCATTCAAGTTGTCTTATTGGCCGAAAGTCTATAATCTACTTGTCGTCGGTCATGGCAGTTTCACCATACCAAGAAATGAGAGGTCTTGTTGCATTTAATACCATAACAGCTGCATTTAATGCCTCAATAATTCTGCTGGATCTTTGTCTGCCACATGGCTTCTCTCTATCTAACAGGTGTATAAATGCCGCAGGGCCTGGACCAG